TATAGCAGAAAGTGTCCTCCTAGTAAACTAAAAAAAAAAAAAAAAAAAAAAAAAAAAAGAAAAAAAAAAAAAAAAAAAAAAAAAAAAAAAGAAAGAAAAAATGAAGTGAGAAACATGTATTTACAATCACATTCACCCGGTTTATGCATTAGAGAAGAAAAAAAAAAAAGGGGGGAAGGAAAGGAAAAAAAAAAAAAAAAAAAAACTCCTGGACAAAGATTAAGTGTATTTAAAAAAACAAATTACAATGATTTCTCTTTATAACAAATAATTTCTTGTTATTCATTTATCCTATAAAGAGGACATTTCATGTTGTTGCATCACGCATGGGTAAAATATTGTTCTAAAGGTCTATGGTGACTCACTGCCTGAATCTTCGGAATCTGAACCAGATGAGTCGGAGCTTTGAGAGTCAGATGTACCATCATTAGAGCTTTGACTATCTGAAGAACTTTCGCTCGAATTATCACTTTCGTTTTGACCTTCAGAAGTTGAAGTGGCAGAGTTTCGCTCAAATTTTGCCAATGTTCTTTCAAGAGCAAGAATCTGTGCTTCTTGTTCTTCTACTAGAGATTGTGTACGAGGTTTCTTTGCAGGCGGTTGCTTCTTCTTAACTTTGGCCTTTTCAGCCGTATTTTGTATCACATAGTCGTACATTTCTCTGGCAGTTTTAACATTTAGAGAATCAATTTCAAACGAAAATTCGCCATCTTCATCCTGTATAGGTGCACCACTCTCGCGAATAAGGTTAGCTACAACTGCCATTTGGTCAGCCGATAAAAGTTGAATTCGATGTCCAAGTTCAACTTTCTGAACAGGAGTAAGACCTTTTTCTTCTTGTTTAATTGTCGAGCGAGGACTTTTCAAAGGCTTTTTAATACTGCGAGGTGTCTTTAACGATTTTTTAGCTTCTTTTTTGGGACGCTTTAGTGATTTTTTACCCGTTCCTGCTGGTTGAGTCAAAGTACCCTTTTTAGAACCGTGTTTTTTCTTAATTTTGGACGGTTTATGTTTCTTTCTTATCTGTGAAATCTCTGATGACAGAGCTTCTAAATGTATCTGCAAAGCTCTTATGTGATCACTATGATCATCACTTTCATCTTCATCTGATGAACTATTCGACTCTGAAAAATCTTCAACTTTGATTTGTCGTCGATATTGAGGAATAGGTTTCTCTGACCATTTTTTATCAAACACTGCTTCAAGCATCTTCCCCATATTATATACTTCAGAACCCCTTCCGTTATACGTATAACAATTCTGGAACATTAAACGAATATCTGACTCAAACTCATCAGCATTTGAATACTGTCCACTTTCTAACTTTCTATTTATAGTA